CGCCCGGTCCAACGCCGTCTGGTACGACAGTGAGGGAGTCGAGGCTCTCGCCGCCTCCCTTGGAACGGTCGACGATGATGCGCTCGTCTTGATCGTCCCAGACTCCGCGCTCCCAGAGTGTGAGGACACCGTCGCCTGCGCCAACGATGACCTTTTCGCCTACACTTGAGCCCTTCTTTGGTAGACCAGTCACGATGCACGAACTGAGCAGCTCTTCTTCCTGGTCCTCACTCCGAACCATGACGCCTCTCCGCAGATCCGTGACGGCCAGTGTGCTTCCTCCCGTTGTGACCCATTGCTTGGCCCAGCCGCTGGTACTCGCTTGCGTGGGCGGTAGAGGTGTGAGGGAGGAGACGTAGTCGTCGTGGGGGCGGTGTGTGTTTTCGGGCTTTAGGGAGACCTTTTCGCCGCCCTTGAGGTTCCTAATGTCGTAGATGTGCAGTGAGCCCGAGTCGGTGGTGAGGATAAGGGATTGCGGTGAGAGACCGTAGACGAGGGTAGGCGCATCGATGCCGCCATTCGCACTGTTGGTGTCAGTATCGCTCACGTGATATCTATGTCTCTTGTACTCACGGATCTAGCGGTACACAAATCTTCGCAGTGACCTGGCCAGTCATGCAGTCTGCGACCTTGACCATGCCATCTGTGCCTGCCGAGTATAGTGACGTGCCATCGACGCTGTATCCGAGTGTCCGACAGCTTCCCTTGTGTCGCCGTGTCTCCCAGAGTTTGTCTATGGTGCCGAAGCCCTTTTCGGAAGCTATCGTCTCGTCATCGTCGTCGTCGCTTGCGCCCGAGGGCAGCTTGAAGGTCTGCACATGGCCGCTGGCCAAGCCGACGGATATGATAGGCTCCTCTGGGTGGATCGCCTGCACAAAGATATCGTGCTCCACCGGGAGCGCGCACAAGTTCTCGAACATCTTGGGCTTAAAGATGATGCGGGAGTTGGTTGAATGCATTTCGCGACAGCTACAACTGGAATTTTTGTGGAGCCGCGGCTCAGCTCTTGCAGGGCAGGTGCAGCCGATGGTCTTGGCAGGTACATTCGCACCAGGCGGGCTTTTACATTCCCCCGAGACTCCAACACCACCTGCACCTGCGTGCATTTCATGCAGAATTGAACTTCACTCATTGTATTTCCTCATCATTCACACCAGTGTTTCGCAGGCTCGAATGGACATCGTTCCAGAGATCATGAGTAATCTTACGACCAAGTCGTCAACAACACCAGGTTTCCTGTCTCGACTCCTACAAAGTCTAGCATTCGGAGAGGCCCTTAACTCATTTCTTCCGTTCCACCCAAAAGTAGCTGGACGGCACCGTAAACCGGGTCCACGGACCACAAGTGCGTCCCTCGCAGCATCGTGAACCTCTTCAACGAACATCCCCTTCCAATCACGGCCATGCCATACGACACGCTTTTTCTCCACCGGGCCTTCGATCTTCATTGCCCCATCATAACTAGTCCTTGGCCAGCGACGCGACAGGAAGGTCAACATTCTTCGCCATGCGTTAAGCCTCGTCCGGCAATGCAGCCGAATCACGTTTATCAATGATTGGCTGTGAACATCATCACCATCTCCAACCATGTCCGCCGCTGTACAATCGGAGCAAAGACGTCCGACATCATGTACGTCTTAAAGAGAAGCCGGGAACCGTCGTTAATCCGAACAGCAGGCGTTGGATCTATCTGCAGTAATTTAATATCTGATCTGCCAACATGCTAGCATCATCGCTTCTATACGGTCTTCTGACCGCCGCGACCTCAGTCAGCGCATACCACCACGCCAAATCCATCAACTACACCGTCGTAACAGGCATCTTCCAACAAGACGAGCCCTCCACCGACCCCTCGACCTTCAACTTCCTCACCAGCAACTTCGGTCTGATCAACCGGACCTACCCCAGCGACTCATCCTGCCCAGACCGCAAGCACTCAACCCAATGGCAGCGTCTTGCCCACTACATTTCCACCCTAAACAAGAAGGCGCCGCGCAATGAGCGCTACGCCCTCTTCTTCATGGGCCGCCACGGCGAAGGCTTCCACAACGCCGCGGAATCCTACTTCGGCACCCCAGCCTGGAACTGCTACTGGTCTGAACTCGACGGCAACGGCACCGTCACCTGGGCCGACGCTCAACTCACGATCGACGGCATCGAACAGGCGAAAGTAGTAAACAAGTTCTGGAGCCACCTCATCAAAGACGAGAAGATCACTCCGCCAGAGACTTTCTACACCAGCCCCTTGTACCGCTGTCTCGATACCGCGAAGATCACTTTCGAAGGCGTTAAGCTACCGAAAAAGAACCCCTTTGTGCCTGTTGTCAAGGAGTTCCTGCGTGAAGGTATCAGCGCGCATACCTGCGATCGCCGGCACAGCAAGTCCTTCATCAAGAAGAACTTCCCTGGCTTCAAATTCGAAAAGGGTTTCGCAGAGGAAGACCCATACTGGACTGAGCTCTTCGCCGAGCCGCGCGCAAACCAAGATGCTCGCTCAAAAGCTGTGCTCGATGATATACTTGGCAATGACGATAGCACTTACATGTCCATCTCCTCGCACTCGGGCGAGATTGGCAGTTTGCTTCGTGGTATGTCACCGTCTCTTCAATGTCGTTCCGACATCTCTGTACTAACAAACCCCCAGTTCTTGGCCATCGCGAATTCCGTCTGTCGACTGGCGCTGCCATACCCGTTTTGGTCAAGGTATCTACGCTCAATGCTCCTGCGCCTGCTACTACGACGCTGCCGTACACACCGCAGAAGACGTGCGCGGCGCCGCCTGCTATCCGCGACTCGAGCTGCAATGACTGCTCGTGCTGCACTTGAGCGCATTGTTTAGTTCCGGATGTAGACTGAAGTAGACATAGATTCCGACGTGTAGTTCGCGATCTCAGCCACCAAACTCCAAGCTCTTGCACCCGTGTTCCAGAACGCCCTCTTTCCCAACGTTAAGCCAGATCATCTCGTTTCCCTGCCGTGTCGATATCTTGGCTTTCACGTCCCGATGAGTAATCATGCCCATTCGTGGAAACACGGAGAGAGTTACGTTGTGAATCTCACCACATGGCATATGCGCCGCACGTCACCGGTGGCAACTCCGCCTGAACACGGGGTAAATCTGCATAGTGCACCGACCGTGTAGACATGTCACTCCCAGCTCCCAAACATGTCACTCGCTCATGTCTATCCCGATACCCTGATTGCCTAGCGGCGTCATGCACTATCGCCTCCCTAACCTACTAACCTACCTAACCTCGTTCTCAACGGCTGGCTACCCAGCCACCGAACTCTATGCCCCCATCTCAGTCTTCGGCATGTCACAGATCGTTCAGATGATTAATCCTCGCCGATTGGCTCCTTGCACCATCGACCCCGTCGGTGTTCGTTGTTCCCTGCGTACATCTAGTTCGCCATCCATCTATTTCGTCATTGCAGTTTCACTTGCCACCTGAATGCACTACCAACTTCCACCACGCAGGTTACACACTACCTAGGTACAGTAACACCCCTCTTCCCTGCACGCCTGCCCAACCCTCCTGAACATCACCACGCGCATCCCATCACACCATCGGGCCTTTTCATCTAGTCCAGCCGCAGCTCAGACAATGCTGATGATCTTAGCGATGATCCTAAAGAGCTAGATGGGCTAGGCAGGCTAGGTCCCGCGTTGAGGCCAGACTGGCGGGTGGTACACTACTTCAGTAGCTAGGGTTATGATCGCTGTGAATCGGGCCTTTTCGGACTTTCGCGCTCGAGGACCTTTGCGCTTGAGGGCTTTCGGACTTTCGGGGTCTGGGCGGGCTACTAGATGATAGGCCAGATGAGACGGAACGGTAGGAACCGCCGTTCGTAGGCGTAGATGATCTGGAAGTTTATTGTGTGGGTTTTGTAGGGACGGTTCTTCGAGGATTGGTGCGACGGTCACCGGTCGGGTGTTGTCGGCGGGCTTGGGGTTGGAAGTGGTTGCGATGGAGATGGGGATGTATTGGCAGAGGGGTAGTGTGATAGATTGAGTAGGGAAGACAAGAAGGTGATGCTGGTACATGGCGTGATAGTGAGACGACAGTGGCGGTCAGAAGAACGTCTGGCGATGTCATATCGAGGAAAGGTGTCGCTGCACGTAAGCTTACTCCCCTCCCCTGGCGAGGTGGTCTGAGGCTCTGCGGCAGTTGTGGACTTGGTAACAACAAACTCCCTTCCTTTTCCAAGTGCCAGGTGCGGAAGCTTAGTGTTTCGAGACAAAAAAGCTAGCCTTGAGGTAGCGCATCGCGATATCTTTTTCGACGTCATTACAATATCTAGACAGTTAACATCAGATAGACTATACCCATGTCGCAAACGGATTCCGCAACATGCGTTAAATATTCTCAGCGTTTCTTATTAAGTACATTACTAGTATATACAGGGGTATTTAAAAATGTCATGTCGCTCTTTCTCTTTGCTAATGTACAGGGATGGGGGTATACAAAGATAAAAGGCCGTGAGCCGTGATGATGCGGCAGTTGGTGTCGTCGCTTCCCTGCCGTGTGTATATACTCGAGTCAAGTAAGACCCAGACTCGAGCCGCTGTGGGGCGGTGTGCTTCCAGACGAACCTGGCTTTTTGTTCTTGCAGTCCTCGGTAACTGCGATTGCCGAGGCAGGTCGTTCGCATACTTTTTCGGGTTCACGATGGGCTTTTTTCGTGGTGGAGTGCGGCTGCGGGGTTTGCTTCTTCGCGCATGTGGAAGGACCGTGGTGGTGGGACCGGGGCGCTTGGATGTATCTGTGTCGGTGATGATAGCGACTGGGATTACGACTGTGAGTGTGTGAACGCCATCACCACCGCCGTTTGAAGACGGCATTGAGGTCATTTCCTTCACGGTACTCCGTTTCAGCTCGATCTGAAGCAAAGAGGAGCTTGCCGACGCGGCAAATATCTCCTTCGCGACATAAGCCACATCGCATGTCTTCGTGATGACAAATGGAAAATGTTGAAAGTGGGTATATTGCTGAAACTCATCATCTGTAAGGCGCAGACAAAACCGATCCCCGCTCTTCATCCGTGATGTAAAATGACTTGGAGACCATAATGCCGTTCTGGAAATGGTCCTCTTCCGCACTGCTCCGAGCGCTCTTGATCCTCAGACTCCTTTGACTATCGTTGTCGGAGTTGTCCACACGCGTACTTTTCTTCGAGTTTGGTGGTGCCTTTCCGCCGTACCATTTATTCGAATTCGAAACAGGTTCGTCGTCGGAAGTGCGAGTCTGCACAGTGGCGGAGAGTTTGTACATGTCGGGACGGAGCTTGTCGGCTTTGGAGTTTCCAGCGGCGTTGCCGGGTAAGGGGGCGGACATGCCGTATGCGGACGGACGGTAGGCTCCAGTTGGGCGGGTAGAGAGACCGAGCTTGTGCATGGCGATGAAGAATAATGGGCGGAGCGTTGCGAGGCTGCCGGCAGTGATAGCGAGACCTTGTTCGACCGATGACCAGATGGCGATGTCAAGTGTGGACCCTGACAGCATTAGTACCCATTGAAGAAGCGGCGGTAGGGAGACTTACAGAGGAAGTCAGGCGAGTTAAAGTAGTGGACGAAAGGCATGCGGGCGATGACCGCAGCACTTGCGATGCAACCCATGGTGATCAACGGAATTAAAGCAACCTTGGTCCTCCTCTTCAGCTGCAAGTGCCATACCAAGAATCCCGGAATGATGGCGAAGGTGAAGTCGGTGATGATACTGAAGATACTGTAGACGTAGCCGAGAGCGGTGATGACTGTGTTGTCGACGCACTTTCCTTCTTGCGAAGTACGGTCCCACATGTACGAGATTGGGTAGCACTGGAAGAGACAGACGAAGAAGAAGGTGCCTCCAGCAATGATCGAGACGCACATGGCACTGTAGATGATCCTGGTATTCTTAGTCCATGTTGTCACAAGTCCAGTTTGCGATTGCTTACCACGTGTGTAGTTTTCGAATACTAATCCGCAGGAGAAGGAACCCAATGGACAGCTTCGAACAGATCATGGAGATGGAGTAGAACAGGTAGCAAAAGTACCACGCGTGCTTCGCATTTTGAACACCCTCGATGGGCAGGTCACGATGATGTTTTCCGGTTCCATAGTGTATGCCGATGCAAGACGATGTTGTGTACGAAATGAAGAAGAGCTGAGGACCTAGTCAGATCGGGACCCAGTTATCGTATTAATATACACTTACAGTTGCGAGAACCATCAAATAGTCATCTCGGCCAAATGCCTTGACCATACAGAGGCGAACATATATCCTCAATGCACAAGCCAGGACTGCGGTGGTAACGAAGGCGATGTTGACTGCGAGCAGCTCGGGGCCTCTGTTGGGAATAGCCATTGTGGTGTGGTATATTGACGAAGCAGTGGACACTCATACAGCGAGGAGGAGCCCCAGAATGAGCACACCGTTCGGTCGGTAATGGGGGGCTCAGGATCTTTTACGCAGCTAGACACTTGACCGAATAAGCAGGGTGGAGACTATAGAAGACACCGCATAATGGGTGCCGCCACGAGTGAAGTGGGTCTGCGGGCGGGCTCCCAGGACTCGTTCCAGGGTCTGGTCCGTTTCAAGGAGCGACCATTACCAACAGGGTCGTTGTCCCGCGGAGCTCGGACACGGGACTATGGATTTGGCGAAGTCGTTCATGCGTTGACAGGGCACACGGGCACGCGTAGAAGCTGACGGCAGTAGTGTTGACTGCCGCAAACGAAATTGTTCATTGAACTCAAATAGGGACACGACGGAGGGAGGGGATAGGAGATCAGCGTACACATGTGCAGCAGCTGGGCAGCCTCGTGCACATGGCTGACTTGTACCTCGCATAGGCTGGGACGCCACCATGGCTGGAAGGCAGCTCGCAGTAGCGAAACTCAAAAGCGCGGCTTGGGGAACGGCAGTAGTTGTTCAGTCCTGCTTTTGGCGGTGCCTAGATGCGTCCCGCTCGAAGGAGTTTCGCGATGTTCACCGGCCACGTGAAGGCTAGCCGAGAAGGGGATTAGTCACCGAAAATCTCGCAAGGGCTGCGTGTTCCGTGCCTTCCGCTTCCCAGCTAGCTCCGACGCCCACTGACAGCCAAAGAGTCAACACTCAACCTCACAGACTCCTCGGAGCTCCCACTTGCTGCCGCTGATCGGCTGCATCATCGCGCAGTATCTCTTTAACCGTTGGTTTCAGCTATTCTACGCTGACTGCCGATTCTCTCAATGAGGAAGTGCTCTGCACCTCTAAAGACGGGAACTTGTAACCGCTAGCCGGGCGGTTCCTGAACCTGCGTGGAGCCCCACTGAAGGTTTGCGAGAGCGAGAGTCCGCCGACACCGCAAGCTATTCAACGATGATAGATACTGTGGCTTGCAGCGTTCAATTGTATAATCCAAGACTGTCGCTAGATTACTTACCCTAATGTTTCTAATGTTTTAACGTAATTTTATTACTAAGACGCTAGTCTCTAAGTAGGTTTTCTTCTACAATTCTATATTAGCATTTTATTATTTTTACTAACTTATATTTACTAGCTACTCTAAGCTACTACTATTTTAGCTTATTAAATTACTTATTATACTTAGTAATAATAGCGTTTATAACTACGCGTATTATATTATTAGTAGTAAGTAGCTAGTTTATATTTATAAAAGTTATATTTACTAGTATTTATAATAGTAAGTTATTTAAGGTGTTAATCTCTAGCTATATAATATTAATATTATTATACTAGCTAATTACTATATTTTATTAGTAGTAATTACTTTAATACTTTTAGCTATCTTATCTAAGCTAATCTTATAGTATAAGAGAATAACTAGCTTAATATAGTAGCTATCTTTAAAGTACTTTTCTACTAGCGCGTATATTTTCTTTACTTTATTTAAGTTATTAATAAAATAATATCTTAGTACTAAGAGTAAGCGTAGCTTAGTATTAGTAAAAGCTAAGTCTAGAAGCTAATATAGTATTACTATAATAGAGAATTTAGATTTAGATAAAGATAGATAATATTTATTAGTAAACTAATAATTCTATAGTATAAACTAGTCTAAAAAGAGTAAGGTCTATTACTAGTATATAAAAAGATATATTTCTAAAAAAGTTAAAATTTTATAAAGGTATAGGCTTTAAATAGGCTAAGACTTAGGTTCTTAGCGCTACTACTTCTAGCGTAGTTAAAGCTTTTAAAATTTAAAGTAGTAAAGTAACTATTTTATAAATACTAATATCTACTTATACTATAGTAAAAAAAATTATAATATAATTATATATTCTTAATAGCTTATAACTAACTAAGCTATAGATTATAAAGTAATAAAATACTAAAATCTTAGCTTATAAAATTATACTTTTATATATATACTCTCTATTCTCTACTTCTATTCTTATTTTATAGCTTATAGTAAAATTAAAAATTTAAAAACTTATTAAAGATATAAATAGTAGCTTAAATCTAATACTAAAAGCTATACTAATTAAATAAGCTTTTAACTATATTTTTACTTTCTTCTATAAGTTCTTTTAGCGTTAGTAAGTTTAAAGCTAATCTTATTACTAGTTATATTACTTTACTACTTTACTAAACTTAATTAAGCTTTTTATTATTAATTAATTATTTTTCTTTTAAATGTGTTACTTTATAAGTTCTTTAAAAGTTATTATTTTAAAAGCTATTATAGAGGCTATTATAAACTACTATATTTATACTATATTAAATACTATTATAAGCGCTCTAAAGAGCTACTTTACTAGTATAGAGCTATACGCTAAGTCTATTAATATTTCTATTACTTCTATTTCTATTATTTCTATTTCTAATATTTTTATTTTTATTATCTTTATTATCTCTATTACGTATATAGCTAGCGTAAGACTTTTTATTATTTTTTTTTTTAGCTTTACTTTTAAGAAGCTTATTAGTAAGATATATAAGCTTTTTAGTAGTTATAGTTTCTTACCTATAAAAAAAAGAAACTAAAAAGACTATTTTATTAAAAACTATTTTATTAATAATCTTACTAATAAGATACTACTAATTATCTACTATATTATTATTTATAACTAAGTATATAAAGTAAAAGAAATAATAAATCTACTTTTTTTTTTAGCTTTATAAAAAGCTATACTTTTATAAAAAAATACTTTAGCTAGAATACTTTATAAAGGTAAAAAGAGCTAAAATAGTAAAAATATAGCGTTTATAAGTTACTTTATATAGTAAAATACTATTTATTAGATAGTAGCTATAATAGACTACTATAACTTCTATTAAGACTTAGACTATAAGCTATAGAATAGTTATTATATTATAGTTATTAGCTAGTTAGCTTCTATAGAATAGATACTATAAGGTTTAGTATAGTATTTCTATTACTACTATATTATCTTACTAAGTAATTAGTATAATATATAGTTCTTAACTACTACGTAAACTTAGAAGTGTATTAATATATATAGTTATAGTTTATATAAGTATTAGTACTAATAGTAATATATACTAAATATCTTAAAATCTTAAAATTTTCTAGCTATTCTAAGATAATAAGCTAGGCGTCTTTTAATATCTTTTTACTAAATAAAGTCTATAAAATTAGGTATAAGGCACTAAAAGAAAGATAATATAGTACTTTATATACTTAAACCTTAACTATAGTTCTATAGTATAAGCTATTTTATTATAGAGTTATTTTAAAGACTTATTACTATACTATAAATATATATAAAAACGTACTAGCTTAGACTTAATTATTAGTAAATTATAATTATTATATATCTAACTACTTAATATACTATTAAAGTTATTATAATTAGATTATTACGAGACGAGCGCGCAAACAAGAAGATGCTAGATTACTCAGGTGCCTCGGCTTCCTCACGTTGAGTCTGCAGGGTTTCACGAGTATCTAGTGCGCGGACTGACTCGTCGTCGCGGGCATCGGCACTTGCTGTAGGCACTGGAGGACCTGGATCTAGCTCAGCACTTGCATCATCGCCAGCGCTACTATCGTTCCTTAGATGCAGAGTCCGTCGCACGAACAACCATAGTTCGCGACTGAAACCCGGCCTTGGGATCTGATATACAACAACGGCTAGTCGTCCGAACGCCTGTCAATTGCCTGTCCGACGACTACTGCTTCAATATTCCAACAAACAGGCATCGGGATTGAGTGCCAACGCGGGTAACGCTGGATGGCAGGCTGATGAGTCTCGCAGGCACCATCCTAGCGATCAAAATTCCACATGTGGGCCCCGAATCCACAGAACAATGGCGACATGAGCGTCGCATGCATCAGGGTAGCACAGCACTTCCAAATTCCTGGAAACAACTCCGCAACCGTTCATCTCCCGATGCCACGCCCGTCCGGTCCTCTTAAAGCCAGTTGGTCTCAGCTCAACGTTCTTCCCGTTTGGTAAGTTCGTCTCAAACTGCCGAGGAACTGCTCACAAGGCCTCCCAACGAAGGTTTAGGCGTCCGGCGGAGCAGACTCCTGGGGAAAAACTCCGGCTTCCAAAGTGGCGACCGTGTATTGGAGAGCGGAGAGTAAAACGGTGTTCCCCTGCGAGTGCGACGAAGAAGTCTTCATACCCTTGGCCTGTTGAACCCACCGTCGAGCCGCCCCATCGCCGCATTCGTGCAACCCTTGCAGTCGGGAGCAACGATCCTATGGTTGACTGGGTTGAGTGAAAATCTTGAACCTTTCTGGACGACGCTCGCAAGGTTCAGTCATGGCAACAAACTTTGGTTAAAATGTGAGTCGGTACCTGCTCTGGTAACGGACGAACTTGCGGGTTTGGTGTCTAGTTCGCGCTTATGTCCGACGTCCTGGTATCCGTATATGCGATGGCGGCCGTTATGCTTCAAACCAATCTACTCAAGGCAATACGTCAGATATTTGCTAGGAGACTGACAATCGAAGCAGGTAAGTGATGTGCTCCAACATACGTAGTCACGATGTAGGTACAGCGACGCCATTCAACATGCGGACATACTGGAGGCCTTGCCGCCGTCTAGTCCCAATGCGATTTCTGATGCAGCTGCCACGGCTGCTAAATCAGGAGGCGAATATCACAACCCGAACAAGACACGGCAACCCATCATCAAATGAACTGCCGATCTTGTAAGCTGTACCAGAACAAGGTATCCATATACACACGAACAGATGGTCTACATAAGAAGCATAACATGAACATCATCACCCTCCAATCCAACTACACCAACTCCGAAGGGTATCGGGCTGCACTGTTGCATTGCTGTTACGGCCGAACTGCAGTGAGATATCCCCTTCTTTCCGGACAGGGTATTGACATGTGCCCAGCAAGAACACAACTTTGCTTTTGCAGCACATCTTCACT